GCATTATGCATAAGTTCAAACCATTTTTGAGAGAAACCCTTATTATGATTATAAACCCTTTTCAAATGAGATCATTCTAAGCTCATAACCATAACCCTTAGCCAAATGTGTTTTGCTTTAAAGTGCATAAGTTTGATTCATGGTTCGAATGTTAATGAATGTTAAAGGATGAGTTTCTTTGATTGTTAGGAATAGGGGAGTCATGATTTGAATTTCTTTGTGTGATGAGTATGGCTAAGTTCTTTGGAGTATGAGTGTAGGCATAGCATTTTAGAATTGTTAACTAGGACATTGAGATGATCCATTCGAAAGGCACCTTTGCAAAAAGTTTAAAACCCCTTTGATTTTCCTAAAAACCTCTCTTCCTTACTTGTTTTTTTTGTTGCTTGAGGGCAAGCAAGAAGTAAGTTTGGGGGAGTTGATGTTATTGCATATTGCATACATTTTGCATACTCATTAGTTAGTTTTTCATGCATTTGTATCATGTTTTAGGTTAGATTGCATCACTTAGGGTCCTAGAGCATTCTTGCATCAGCATATGCATTTTTTTGCATTTTGCATCACATTCAGGTTGTTTCTGGCTGTTTTGGAGTCATGGAGGTTCGTGGGCGTGTGGAGGCTGATGTAACAGTGTGTGGGAGCTCGAAAATATGCTAAGGACCAGTGATCGAGGAGCAGATCGAGCATGGCCGGTCGATCTAGGAGTTGATCGACCAGAAGATCAAGCCAACTAGGCGATCCAAGGAGAATGATCGAGACGGAGATCGAGTGAAGCAATCGATCAATCGGTACGGACGTAAATAACGCCATGCAGAGCGAGAGCCAGATCGAGTACACCACTCGATCCACCCGAAGATCGATACCGAGATCGGATGCAACACTCGATTCGCCGATGAAGATCGAGACCCGGATCGAGCCGAAGACACGATGCCCGAATGTGATCGAGAGAACCACTCGATCCAGTGGTCGATTTCTGTCCTTTCAACCGTTTTTGGCTGTTAGCAAAGGGGGGACCATTGGCTTGTTTGGGCATTTTAGGCAAGGCGGCGAGATGCTTTTTGGATAACTTTTAGATCCTTATCCTTTCTTTCATGTTTTCTCTCTCGTTTTACGAAGAACACCATTGTTGAACTCGTTTTCCTTGGAAGCTTTTGTATTCGAATCTTTATCGTTTAATCTAGTCTTTCTTTAATGTTCATCGTCGTATTTCTTATGCTTTGCTTGATTCACTCTATGTGTAGTGAGTAGTTTCCTTTGGGTTCGGGGTTGAGAGGATTAAGGGGTAGAAAGAGTTCGATCTTGGTTTGTTTTCTAAACGTTTTAAAGGCTATCTCTTCTAAGTGTTGAAAGCTTAATGCTTGAAGACTCTCACGCCAAGAGCTTCACGATCCGAGAGGTTCCTTACCTTGACAGGATCCAGGAGCCTCGGAAGATCACACTTTAGAGACTAGTTACCCCTTCCCAAAAGCCATGGAAGTTTGGGGAACTAGTTAAGCCATTACTTGAAATCTGTTTTCCTTGCCTTTCGACCTCTCTTTCCACCAAAATCCATGGGTTTGGAGGAGAGGATGAAAGAGTGATCTATACCGAAAGTCACGGATAGATCTTGTTTTGTTTTCAAGGCTTAGAGATCTTCACCAAGTGAGTCGATCTAAAGTTTCAAACCCAAGATCGATCCTTTGAAACCCTTTACATGAATCTCAACCCTAGGCCCTTTCTTTTAGAATCTTTAAGTCTTATTTCATCTTTCGCTTGTTATCTGATAGCATCCTGGTCATTAGATTTGTTGTTCTTACGGTTTTAGACGAGATCGATCGTTACTGCTCGATCTAGTGGTCGACCTTGTGGTCGATCCACTAGTCGAATTTTAACAATTCGAAGTTCTTTCCTTTAATTAATCTGTTTGTTTCTCGTGATAGTTGCTTCCTTTCTAGTATTTTTAAAATAGGTTTCACTCTGTTTAGGTTGCTGCATCTAGTTCTTTGATATTTTCCCATAAACTGTCTCATTTTTGCTTAGATTTGCTTAGGACCTTGCATTCTCTGTGCATTATCTATCTCCTAGAAGTGGATTGACACTCTCCTGCTTGCCTTACTACAACATTGCGTGCATTAGAGTTTTGATAACCTCTCTGCTGCATAACACGAGCTAAGAAACCGTTTATCAATTTGTCTTCCAGGGGTGAAGAGTCCTCGAATACCTAATCTGGGACCATAGCCGAGCTTACTCCATCCTGAACTAAAACCTCCAAGTCAAATTTTGTTAAACCTTTCTTAGATTAGACAACGTTTGCCTATGAAATCCTGTTTTCCAATAAACTTTGGACTGTGACCGGTGTTGTAACTGTTGGAGCATATTAGTTAAAACTTAAAATATTGATGATTTTTCTCACATTTTGATCTCGTTGTTTTTAGTTGACTTTTACTAAATGAACAACTGAGCTCTTATTAGGATGTTCTTAGATATAATCTACCAGAGCTATTTTAACAAATGATCTATTTTACTAAAATGAAAGTGAACTCAACGACTAAGAAAGTTTGATCTTTAATCAATGTTTCTGCTAGATACTAGAACATAAAGTTTAGAAAGCGTAAATACTTTTTTACTCTAGTTCTTTAACCAACTTTAGTTCTTTGCTCTGTTTTTCACTATAAATATAGCCGCAAGACATTGTCAATTGAAGAATCTACTCTTGATGAAGATGGGAGCCTACACTTCGGTGCTTAAATCTTTTATTTAAATTTTATGTTTAATTAAGAATATAGAAGAATAAGCACAGACGTTGTAGATGTACTTTTATCAGTTGACTAAATTTCAGCTCCAGATGAAATTTAGACCATCTACTAAAAAAGGACCAAATGGAGCATTCCGAGAATCAAACTCGGGAGCTTTCACACCCAAAGCAAAAATCATACCACTATACCAAATGCTCTGTTGCTAAGCATATTAGTCAAAACTTAAAATAATAACAATTTTGCTCACATTTTGATCTCGTTTTTTTGTTGACTTTTACTAAATGAACATCTTAGCTCTTATTAGGATGTTCTCAGATCTAATGCATGAGAAGCATCATAACAACTGATCTATCTTGCTAAAATAAAAGTAATCAAATATTACAGAAGATTGATCTTTAATCAAAATTTCTGCTGTAATATAGAACATATAGTTTAGAAATAGTAAATTATAGATTCCAACGTTAGTACTTTACTCTATTTTTCATTACAAATATACCCGCAAGATTTTTCTGTTAAGGATTATAATCTTGATGAAGATTGGAGCATGCATTTTGGTGTTTAAATCTGGTATTTAAATTTTATGTTTTATTGAGAAGATCTTAAATAGAATAAGCACACATGTTGTAGATGTATTTCTATCAGTTAACTCAATTTCTGCAGATGATGTAATTTTGTATTGTTTATAATTCGGTCCTGGTGAAATTTAGACTGTTCACACAAAAAATCAAATGGGGCATTCTGAAAATCAAAGTTTAGACCTTTCGCACCCAAAGCAAGAATCATACCACTAGACCAAATGCCCTAGTGTTAAGCATATTAGTTAAAACTTAAAATATTAGTAATTTTGCTCACATTTTGATCCCTTTTTTAGTTGACTTCTATTAAATGAACATCTGAACCTTTATTAGGATGTTCTTAGATCTAATCTATGAGAGTTATTTTATAAAATGATTTCTCTTGCTGAAATGGAAGTGAAATTAAAGACTAAGAAAGATTGATCTTTAATCAAATTTCTGCAGGATATTAGAACATAAAGTTTAGAAAGAGTATATCATTTACACCAATTGTAGGACTTTACTCTTTAATATAAATATAGCCGCACAATTTTTTTTGTTTAGGTGTCTTGTCTTGATAAAGATGTGAGCGTACACTATGGTTCTTGAATCTATTATTTCAGTTTTATGTTTTATTAAGAAGATTTTGAGTAGAAGAAGCACACACGTTGTTGACATACTTCTATCAATTCACTAAATTTTAGCAGTTGAAGCAATGGTGTATTGTTTATAATTTTATCCATATGAAATTTAGACCATTCACTCAAAAAATGATCAAATAGGGGATCTTTTGCACCCAAAGCGAGAATCATACCACTAGATCAAATGCACTGTGGCTCAGCATATTAGTTAAAACTTTTGACGATTTTTCTCATGTTTTGATATCGTTTTTTTTTTTACTTTTACGAAATGAACATTTTAGCTCTTATTAAGATGTTCTTAGATATAATCTACGAGAGCTATTTTAACAAACAATCTATCTTACTAAAATAAAAGTGAACTCAAAGAATAAGAAAAGATTGATCTTTAATCAAAGTTTCTGCTGTATTCTACTGTTCTCGCCAAACACATGATCGTCGCCGAGAATGAGCTTTGCTGACTGAGTAAACCATGGAAGGTAACAACCTGAACAAGTGAGTATGAATGCTTTTAAGAAAAGAACCGTTAAAACATGGACGTGAGCACATATATGTACCTGATCAGGAGGATAAGGTCTGCATCATCTCGAAAATTTTTAACTACTTTTCTTTCTAGTGTGAATTGGTGACTGTTATTTGAACAAATTAGTTAGAACATCTCCATTTGGAGTATTTTATTAAGATTTCACAGTAAAACGTTTTTAAAAAAATAGAGAGAAGGACAAGAGTATCTCATTAGAAAAACTTTAAATACTCTTGACATACACATTTCACATATGATATTCTATGATTGACTTGTTTTCTTATTGAGGAAATGCTCCAAAATGATCCAGAATGATAAAATAATGTGAAATTGGTATCATATTGAAGAAAATTTATGAAAATAACCACTTTTTACGATTTTCATAAATACTAGCGCTATACTTCTAACTACTGTTATTTGTAGACTAATGGCAGAGTGACAACAAATTGAATGCAGACTACTGGCAGACTGATAAGTCAAATAATTGAATGTAGACTACTGGCAGACTAATCGTAAACTAATTGCAAATTACTTGTAGAATAACAGCAGATTGAAAGCAAAATAGTTGGCCTTTCTTAGAGTCATTTTAGGAAGAGTCATGTTTTGTAATAAAATTGTTAAGTGAGTTATTTCAAAAAATATTTTTTTTATATAAATTAAAATTTAATTATACTAAAAGTATATATATAAAATTATATAGATGAGATTCTCAGGGAAAAGTAATGGACATATATACACTCTAAGTAAACTCAACATGGATCGAATCGAAGCTATTCATTCCGCTGACAGACCCTGAACCACAATCCACGGGATAACACTAAAAAAAGCCAGAACCACGATCTTTGTGGATCTTCTAGGGCACAAGTCAATTAGTGACGCCTACCCCTAGGACCCAAAACCAAGATGCCATAGTTTCATTAGCACTTTCTCCCATAGAAGATTGATTGGGTTCTCAAACATAAATTAATTTCTAAGCCAAAACAAAAGCGAAAGCTCTACCAAAGATTTGATCAAGAAGAGTCTAGCAAATGAACTTATTAAAAAAAAGCCAGAGAGACAACCAATTGTAAACAGCAATGGAACCTCACAACAAAACTCACTCGATCTTGGCAATATCTTTTATGAAAGCGCCCATGTTAACTTCAGAAGAACCGCTTTCCTCGACTGCTTGGCGACAGATCTTGCTGAGATCACAAGCCCTTCTTCTCATCTCTTTTCCTTCTTCGCTCTTTCCATCCATAAACCTCTTTACCAATTCCTTCATCTCATCTTTCCTTATCAACGACTTTGCCTCCCCCTCGATCCTCATTCCAATCTTCCAGTCGTCAACAATCATCTTTGCATTCAGAATCTGATCCCATATAAAGGGAAACACCAGCATTGGTACTCCCTAATATATCCCTTCTAATGTCGAGTTAAACCTACAATGCGTCCAAAACCCGCCAACAGCCACGTGACATAGCACGCGGAGCTGATCGCACCAGCTCACAACAACACCCGAGCTACCCTCGAGAGCCTCCTTCAGCTTCAACTCGCCACCACGAGCAACCCAAAGGAACCGGACTCCGCTTTCTCTCACTCCCCCCACTAGTTCCTCCATCTGAGTTTCTGAGCCCGAAAGAAAACTCCCTTGAGATATGTAGAGCACAGAGCTTTCCGGCTGTCCATCGAGCCACTGGATGTAATATGGTTTTTTGCTGTCATATCCAGCAGAGACATCTGGGAAAGGGATTAACGGACCGGTGGCATAGACCGGAAAATTAAACTTGGAGGTGAGAAAGTCAATAGCTTTTGGTTCGAGCTCGTAAGCAGAAGGGACGAGAAGGTACTTAGCTTTGGAGAGCTCATGGAAACAAGGCTTGAATTTATTGAACATTTTATTACTGTCGCAGTGGAAGATTTGCAACAGGTCACCGAGTCGTGTCGGAGCTAAACCGGGGATGTAATCAACAATTTCGTCTTCTTTTGATTCTACAAACAAACCCATATTGGAGAATCAGGAGTTACGATAAATATTTATTTTTCTTGTATAAGTATTTCTTTATTTGCTGAAGGAAAAAAAATTGAAAAATCTTTTCTGTATCGTTACAGTTTTAATGTGATATTTTGTACAATTATTGCTATAGTGGCTACGTACCTGATGGCGGTTCGACAAGAAAATGGCCGTGAGCTGCGAGTAAATCGGAGTGAAGGAAGAGAGAGAGTAGCGTGGCCGGCATAATCCAGAGAGAAACTACTGGAATGTTTCTCTGTGTGCCGACACGGGTTGCCCAAAGGACATAAGTATCAGCGATGATTGCGGTCAGAGGCTGCGAACTGAAGCGGTCAAGCAGATGCTCGAACGGTTCCTCCAATCTGGTATAGACAGCGTCGATGAAACCGGTTAAATCGTTGGCCCGAACAAGCTCAGAGGGGATTAGATTGGGGAGAGTGGCGAAGTGGATCATATCGGGTTTCGGGTCGGATCCGATTAAACCGAGCCATTCTTCGGTGACGACAAAAGTGACGAGGAGGTTAGGGTCTTGACTGACGAGGCGTTTGCAGAGATTCATCATCGGGTTGATGTGACCTCTTCCGGGCCAAGGCATGGCCACAACATGGCGGACACAGGAAGACTGAGCTTTTCTTGGATCTGTATGCATTGTGTCACTTTGACGTGAATGTGAATCAAATGTTTAGCTCACAAAGATATGATTGTTTGTAGAATTTTGGTTGTAGCTAACTATTGCCTTCGTTGGCTTGGTTCGGCAGATAAGAAAAGAAAATAATATGATTCGCCCTTCACGTTGTAGTGTTTTATACAATTTGAAATGTAACGGATCTTACATGTGTACTATTTTAAACAGAAATAAAACTTCGCCCTTCACGTTGTAGTGCATGCTTTATACAATTTGAAATGTAACGGATCTGACATGCGTACTATTTTAAACAGAATTAAAACTTCGCCCTTCAGTTTTAGTGCATGTTTTATACAATTTGAAATGTAACGGAACTGACATACGTACTATTTTAAACAGAATGTAAAGTTCGCACTTCACGTTGCATGTGCTGCTACGTTAGCTAAACTGATAAACAAACACTTTAAAAATAAAAATAATATCTACCGATATCAGAACAACTGATCAGCTTTTTGATACATTTAATTACCATTAGACCAAATGCTAAACGTAACTGCCGAAGCAACTAGTATTGAAATATATACAATTACTCGTTGTGTATATTTTTTCTTTTATTTTTGTTGAATTGTAAATAACATAGATGTTGAACCAGAAATTCACATATATGAATAAGTAATTAACAGTTTGTAGGTTTCAAAAAATAAATTTTTTATCATAAGCTCAAAGGTAAAATGATTACGAAGTTGGTGTGACCTAGAGGTCTTGCTGAAGTGAAAGAAAGTATTTAGAGTAATGAACTAGAAAGTTTGGAATTTTAGGTCTTGTTCTTTTGCTTTCTAGCGATTATGAGTTGATCTTCAAGCTGCACAAGATCTTCTATTTATAGGGTTAGGAGGCCGGTTGCTACAAGGTCTTTTTCATTTTCTCTTTTGGGGATATTTCTCATATTTTAATTATGCGTTTTCCCGATATAATGGAGATTCTACATTATCTACGAGTGGTTTCCTTTATTTCATTAGGTCAGCGTGATCCTCTTTGTCTTGATGGGCTTAAGTTATTGCACTACCCCACCCCCCCTCCCCCCCCCCAGTTCTTTGAGATGATTGCAAATCAGCTCAGCGGACTTCATGAAGCAGACTGGTTTGATCTCGCAATAAACGCCAGCTCGTCGAGAGCATCTTATGCAATTTTTAGCTCGGCCCATCCTTGGTCTTTAGACCTGAAACGTGTCGGTTTAATATTATTCTGCTGAAATGGGTCTTTCCGCACAGCCCATTTTGATTTAGGGTTTCCTATAGGCGGGAAGGGCAAAGGTTTTTGGCACGGGCATCAAAGCTCGATTAATGCATCCTTTTGATGAACCGTTGGGTTTCTCTCCATTTCAACCTGAATCTTCTTGATTTTCCAAGAAATTCATAATCCTACTTTATCGTTATCCTTCTGTATTTGTCCCCAAAATCCTTTGGTAAAGATGGGCTTGAAGAGAAGGAGCAAGATTCCTCTACTAGAGGTTGCTATTCCAGGGTGTCATCTTATTAAGAAGCTGAGGATCGAAACTCTGCCTAGGGATCCACCATCGTTCTAGGGCACCACGTCGATAGGCGGCGCTGCTGGAATCGAGACTCCCAATTCAGCGAAATCGTGTACTCTGCCTTTTATTTTGTCTTCGTCGGGGGTCCTGGCCAAGAATTTGGTGAATGTCTCCCCAATCGGAGGGCAAGATCCTGATCCTGTTGAGGCGGAGGATGAAGAAGCTAATTTCCCTTCTAACGCAGGGGACTTTTCGATGGGTCAAGAGGGTCGGCAGAATATTGACGATGATTCTGATTTCAACACTCATCAAGTTCTATTGCGGTGGAATGGAAATTCTCCGGCAATTTTTGATGAGCATTTTGCCGCTAATTTGGTATGGGAGTGCAGAGCGAAGCCGAACAGAGGAATTTTTGTTAAGAAGTTGAAGCAATTGGAAAAAATTTCAGGGATAGCTTAGCGTTTTATGCAGGTTTATTTCTTGCATTCTTTTTTTGAATCTGACTTCCCCTCCTTTGTTATTATCTGTCGACAGGTAAATGTCTTACAGGGGCTCGGGATTTGTGCATCTTTGATAGAATCATATGATCAAGACTTGTGATAGGGCTCAGGTTTTACCCAAATAAAACTACTGCAAGTGCACAGCAATGCAATCGTAGTATAAGGGGTATCAAATCCCAAGGGAGTAAGTAAACTACACTAAAGAGTTCAGGTTCGGATTAAGCTAAGCAATAAGTAATAAATGTAATGCGAAACAGTAAAATAAATGCAAGGGGGCGTTTTATGCTTGTTCTTAAAGTTCAGAAAGCTAAAGGCGCTAAGTCAGGACAATTCGCAGGTTGAATCCGAAAGTGTAGAATGCATGCAGTCAGGAATGAATTAAAACCGTCTTGAACATGAATCGTAAATATATAACTAATCAATTCTCATTGCAGAAGTTAACTATGTCTAAATCACAAAGTTTCAAATCTCTTTGCAAACCCTAATAATCTAAACATGCAGTAATGATCAGGTTCAATTGTTCACAAAACTCCTAAGCCAAATCTCTTTGCACTATGTTGTTTTACTCATCTAATGCTAGATCAGGTTATCAATAATGCTCTCACATCTATTAAACAACCTATGATTTTTGGATTTCTAGATGATGTGTCTAAGAAATCGATTTTGAATGCAAGCACAGATGGAGAACAAATGGATTTCCTATAAGTTTAGCAATTCTACAAACTCTTCTTCAGCCTTTGAAAAGCCCTAACTAAACTAACAAACTACTCAGACATGGTGAATGAAACAAACATCATGGAAAGAATAGATTGCAAAAAAGAAATAAGAAATAGAAATAAAGGAGTTCGAAATCTGCTCTGAAGGAGTCTGATTTGTCTCTCCAAAAGCTCTGCTACAAATCTCTCTCTTAAGCTCTAAAAAAGAATAAGATACAAGATATCTGCCAAAAGAATGGCTAAAAAACCTAATATACAAGGTAAAACACGATCTGGGGCCTTTTTGTAAATACTGGAACTTCTGGGCCAAAACTGCAATTTCTTCCCAATCTTTCAAAAACCAGGCCACGACTCCTTCCTCTATGGATGACGAGCGTCACCAGCTTGGTAAATCCATACTTTTCTTCCGAGTTGCACACTTCGTGGCTTCATCTTGCAATGCTCCAAAAGGCTTCAATATCTCCAATTATGCTCCAGACATGCTATAACCTGCAAAGACTCTACTAGGACTCTAAAAAAACCAAAAAGACTCAATAAAAAGGACTTATACCATGGTTAAAAACCATAAAACTATGATATATCAACTTGTCGCGTGAGAAAAGTAGAGTCGAGGACCTAGCGACTAAAGATCGAGAGCTTCGTCATGCAGAAGCGAAAAACAAAGATCTTGAGTGCAAAAATATTGAGCTCAAGCTCAAAATTCAGAGGCTCAAGGTAGAGTCCGCCAAAGAGAGCTGGTTTCATAGGGGAAGTCTGGAGAAGAGAGTCATTGAGGAGGGCGAAAGAAGTGCTGCTGCAGAGGAGAAGTGTCAGAAATCGCTTGAGGGGTCGGTTCAGCACATTACTGGCTCAATGTATCAGCATTCTTACGACTGGTATCACCCTCGTATTTATCGAATAAAGGCTTTCTTGGCTCAAGGAGAGGAGATCAAACAGCTCGAAATCGAGACTGCGAAGACCGAGGCATCTATAGCCTGTTTCAAACAGATGTGATATGAGGGTTGTGAAGTTCCCCTCGACAAACTCCTAGCTCTTAAGACCAAGCTTAGTCAGCTAAACATAGCGCGCTGCGGTATCAAATCGGTTACCATCTCGAGTGGTGATTTTACTGCTCCAGGAAGATTGGTGTTTACTGCAAATTACCCCGTCGATTTAATTTGTTGCCCACTTTATTAACACGACTTTATCCCATGTAAATTTACTAGGCACGTCTTTCGTAAATAGATTTAACATCCTTGTTCATTCCAGGCCGGCAGAGGCATACTTATTTACAATAGATCCAAATTTGATAACTGTGGGGACTTGGATGCCGAGATAATGTATACCGAAGTGCTGTGAAATACCGAAGTCAAGACTGAAATCTGTGTTTTTACAAATGTCTTTTACCCGTATGCTTTATATTAGTTCATTTTTGTAATTGATTTTTGCAATAGATTATCTCTATAGCTTATCTTCCGCAATTTTATACTAAGTGTCTTCTTTATATACGAATGCAATAAAAAAGACCCTCATTCTTTCAGCGGGGTTACCTCAATTTTACAGAGGTTTTGTTATGCGAGCTGAAAGCACTTTTTAGTCTGGTACTGGCGGTGGGGTTTATCTGCCCGTTTTACACCAAACGACAACGCGATCGAATACCACATTCTTAGGTATCACTTTGGCCCAAGAGGTGTTTGTATGATCAAGAGTCGTGCGAGTATTATCATCGGATTTCGTCTTATCAACTTCAGAAGTAATTAAATAGAACTGAAGCTTTAAAGAGTGGTGATCAGCCACAGAATTTATTTGAATTTAGAGTCAAACGTTTGGCCAGAACGTTTGACGTTGTTGAATGCATTCGCATCGAAATGTTTCTGATGGAAACAAATTTGTAATACGCTTTTCTTTGTATGCCGAGCTAGATTTCAAAGATAAAAATAAAAATTTATTAGATTATAAATGAACCTGGAGGCTGCCTACGTATCCGAATCGGGATCAAATCATCCGTAGTTCTTTTAAATTATTACACAAATCGAAGCTCGGATGCCGAGCAGTTTCTTTTAGCGATAGAATTTCCTTAAGTTTGTTGAATTCCGCGCTCGCTTTACTTGCTTTCTATCTAGCTTTTCTAATATGTGGATGCCGGGTTTGATGATCTTCGTAATACGATAAGGTCTCTTCTAATTTTCCTTGAGCTTTGTTGGGTTCTTAACCCTTCATAAGACTTGATCATGGAGTGAGAATAGTCGGCTACGTACTTTTTATTGTAGTATCGAGAAATTTGTTGTTGATAATTCTGTATGCGAAATAGAGCTTTATCGCGACACTCCTCCAAGTTATCGAGATTATCGATTAATTTTTCGTAGTTCAACTGCGGATTCTGAACAATCAAAGCTCGGCGAGCACTTGC